CTCCAGGGCCCGGGGGGGGGGGGGGAGGGGAGGGGGCTTGGGTATAGGTGTAGTTTGACTTCTATTTTGGGTGGGCAGGGGCTAACGGGGCTCGAGCCAGCTCCACATGGTGGGGTCCAGGGAGGGAGTGCCAATCCATCTCCACCCCCTAACTCACCTCAGCAGGCTGCCCGCCTGTCTGGGTTGTGTGTGTATGTATGTGGGGGGCACAACCAAAAATTATAATTCAAAGGTTGGGGGCTCAGCTCAAAAAGTTTGAAAACAGATGAGGGAGCAGGGAGAGGGATAGCTAAGGGCTGTGTACGGGCAGGGGTTTAGTTCAGGCTGCAGACAGGAGCGTAGCTAGGTGCTGTGTGCGGACAGAGGGATAGCTTGTGTGCAGGGAGAGGGGTAGCTAGGGGCTATATGTGGGCAGGGGGTAACTTAGGGTGCAGGGAGAAGGGTAGCTAAGGGCAGTGTGTGGGCAGGGGTGTAGCTCAGGCTGCTGGCCAGAGTGTAGCTAGGGGCTGTGTGCGGACAGAGGGGTAGCTCAGGGTGCATGGAGATGGGTAGTTAGGGGCTGTGTGTGGGCAGGGGGGGTAGCTCAGGGTGCAGGGAGGGGATAGCTAGGGGCCTGTGTGCAGGCATGGAGGTAGCTCAGGGTGCAGGGAGGGGGGTAGCTAGGTACTATGTGCGGGGAGGGGGGTAGCTCAGGCTGCAGGGAGGGGGATAGCTAGGGGCTGTGTGCTGGGAGGGCTCCCCCGTGGTCCCTGTTCCCCAAGGCTCTTCCAACCATGGAACTGGGTCCCCCCGCCCAGGTGGCTCTTACTAGCTGCATGAGCAAAGGGGGCTGGGAGCTGAGGAGCAGCTTCAACCCTCTGCACCAGCAGGAGCAGGAGACCACCGTGGTACCAGCCAGAAAGTAGTGGCTGTTCCACACTGCCCAGCTCTGGCTTCCTGCCTCCAACCTGGTCAGTGGGCGGGGAGAGGAGGAGGTCGGGGGAGGGGGTATGTGGCGCTTCCCTGGGGCTGCCGTGTTCTTGCACTGTAGTTTGGGTGGGGGCAACACCCCCGTGGCCTCCCAACTCTGCCCCCCTCTGGGCTTAGGGCTTCTGCCCCATGGGGAGCACCAGGTCTCGGGGCTCCAGAATTCAGCCCAGCTGCTCCCAACTTCAGTCCCATGGGGGGCACCGGGGATTGGGGATTCAATACCACAGGGGGTGCCGGGAATCAGGACTTCAACCCCGCGGCTCCAAACCTTATGCTCCTGGTTCCGGCCCCGCGGGAGTTGCTGAGACTCGGGCTCTAGGTTTCAGCCACCGGGCCCTGCTGCCCTTCTGAAAGGGCTCGCGGACCCCCTGTTGAGAACCACTGCTTTACTAGGCATGAAAAACAATATTTTTCTGTCCTCTTTTTATTAATGTGGGTTGTTGCATTTTCTTCTTCTTATATAATACAAGGCTTACTATAAATGGATGTTTCTTGTCCTATCTTCAGTCTGATCAGCCACAAATACTATACACTCCCCTGTAATGCACCATATCCTGAAGAATGCTCTGAAAAGAGCTTTCTAAAATGATTAGCCCTACAGTGATGTGTTAAATCTTTAATGCACAAAGGTAAGAAGGTCACTCAACATACAAGTTATTCCATACTTAATGTCCCTTCTGCCCCTTTTTAGTTACCCTGAAGATGCTTTGACTGCTGCTCTGCTAGGTGCCTCACTATGCACCATACTGTGGTGCCAGAAAAAGAAAAAATAGAAAAAAACAACACAATGCAAAAAATAACCTCACAACCATTACAAAATTACCTTTAAATAACTTTAAAACTAAAACTGTTAATTTGGACCAAATATTCACATGGAGTCTTGGAACAAATACAGTATAATTTCATTTTAAGACTCTCAATACAATGAATATTGTTAGTATTATAATAATCTATTACAACTTTTATAAGAACAAAACATACATATGATGTCTCATTAGTTCAGACAAAACTAGTATTTCCTGCAATGCAGCTTTGGGACTCTGATTATGCAACTGATAGCCAAAAATTAAAAAAAACACCCAAACATTTTTATAAATCACTCAAACTTCATCCATCTGAAATGGATAGAGGGAGAAACGTTCTTGCAATATAAGAATTCCCACAATACTTTAGAACTGTGGATCAAATAACTTTCTCTTTGTGAGTGCTGTTGTGATAATAGAGCCTTCAAATTTACTCTAATTGTGAATTTAACTGTAAAAAGTGAGTGTGACATAAAAAAATGGCACAATAACCTATAACAAATGTTGATGGGAATAGGTGCCAGAAAAATCAGACCGAAAAACTGGATTCGCCTAAACTAAAAAGGCCACATCAATATAATCAAAGGACTGTTGAAATTATGCTTGTTAAAAACAGATCATGGCCAGAAGTTCATGAACCAAAATTGGTGTGTTGAGTATTAGGCCTAATTAGTGCACAAAATAAATAAGGGGATGGGCTATTCCACACACCATTCCCTTTGGGGGTCTTTAAAGAAAAAGACTTTGGGAGGAAAAGACTGAAAGAACAGATGGAGCAGAAAAACAGCCAGAGACTACTGAATCAAGCTTCGTCACCATGGTTCCCACTCCTCCACCCCCCATCTCTTGGGACTCCAGGCCTTCATCATCCTAATCCTGAGAGATGTCCTTACCAGACCAGGCCAGATAAAGGTACCCAGACAACAACATCACCATATCTATCAGCTCCAGCTGAATCCCAAACACTGCTTTGGATAAAACGGAATCAGACTAACAACAGCAGCTCCAACCCATTTCTACTAACTTCTCTTTTGCCCAAAAGGGACAGTTATTACCATCTTTGACACCATCCAAAAGACTATCAGAGGGGGGGGGGGGGAAGGGGCGCAGGGAGGGAGGGTTCCTTCTAAAACTCTCTACAGCTAAAGGGAAAGGGGAAAAAAGTTACAATAAAAGCCTTACTTAATAATTTATATTTCAAATGCTTTAACTGTTTTTCCTTCTTTTGTGTACCTTTAATAAAAGTTTAAAGGATTTTAAATGGTGTGTTTGCCATGGTACTAAAAAGGTTGAGGTCTCTGTATGCCAAACTCCAGACCTTGTTTTAACACGGTTTAATGTTGGACAGTGACTGGGTTATGTTGACACCTTTGGCCCATATAGTCCATCTAAATTAATACAACAGTATAGATTGGGGTTAAGTTTCCAAAGTGACTTAGAAACAGGCTTTTAAGTGCCTTTTGAACATTTTACCCACAGGCTACTAAGTTATTATAGCACTTTAGGAAATTTTAGCTGTAGTCTCACGTAGAGTGTACTAGCATGTTAGTTCCACAGTCTTCAAGAGACAACTCTCAAGTTCCAGTTTCTCAAACAAGTCATGAAATTGTGAAAATGAATATTTTTAGACTTCTGAAGAGACATTGTAGGATGCAATGTATTAGTTTTTCATGCTTGGTAATATTTAATCAGTGCCTGTAATGTCTATTTAAAATCCCAGACAAATCCCTTTTTCCTTGAATGGAATGTTCTATATACATACGACTCCTGGGGAATTCTGCGTCAAAAATTGTAAAATTCTGCATATTTTGTCAAAATAATGCAATATAATCACACCAGTTTCAATTGTTTTAGTAATTTATTTAAACTACAATACAGAAAAAAAGTCACAATAACTACTCAGCATTTTCTAAACACCTGAAAGTTAAGTTATGAACACTTGGTAACTAATACCCTGCATTCCAGTTATAATTCTGGATTTTCATTTAAATTACATTACAGAACACCAAACAGCAACAACAACAAAGAGTAGAATGTCATTTTAAATTGCTCAGACTTTCATATATGAAAGTCATAAAGTTTTGCTAATCATTGTCCTGCATTTCAGTGCAATCCAGTATTTTCATTTAAATTATAGTACAGAAAACAAAGAGTCTTCAAGTTTTTCTCACTGAGTGATTTCCTTCTGCTAGAAAGGATCAAATTGTACAGTGTAAAACTTTGCTCTGCATCTGCAGAATTTGAGACAATATTTATGCAATTCAAGGCCAGCTTGGCGATATTTGGAATTCTCTCTGCCATTGAAAGCCAAAACACTTGGAGGTCTACAAAAATAGGTTGACTTTGAATAGCTTCAGGCACAATCTTTCCCCTGTACAATTTTAGCTCCTGTTCAGGTACCTCAGAAAAACTAGATATTGCTTGAAAGTATTCGCAGTGTTCTGGCAGGATATAAACATGAGGATTGAATAACCTACAGGCTTTGAGAAAATTGAGACCTGGTTGCTCAAATGACAAATATTTGTCAAGATTTTCAGATGCTTCATGGAATGCCTCTTTAAAGAGATCTAGACAGGCAAATCTTTTAACAGGAGATACGTTTTCTGCCCCCCTAAATTTGAAGAACTCTGAGGTGTTTTCTGAAGGGAGCTCTAGATGTGAACTGCAATATATCTGCAGTTCTTCCACAAAGTCAAATGCTTTAATTTTGCAAGGCTTCCTGCTCTCAAATGCCAGATTTAAACTGAGAATTTGTTCACATTTCTGTGCTAGAAAAGTGATCTTTCAACAATGCATAATTAGTTGGGTCATTCTTCATTTTCTGAATAGTTTGCACAGAAACTGGGGAGCTGCTGTTGCACTCTTCATTAAAGAATTCTTTGTAGAACTGAAAGTTCTTAGATACTGGACAGCATGGAACCAGCTGTTTCAGCGTGTTCCACCTGGGCTAGGAGGCAGGGCCATCCTTAGGATTTATGGGGCCCTACGCAGTATTATTAAACTGGTGCCCCTAAGCTCCACTCAAGGCAGTCCACTGACCCCAGTGTGTCGAAGTGGCACAGCCACCACCCCCACCCGCAGACCCCCAGAACCCCCTCCATTGCTGACGCACACTGTGCTTCATATGCAGCAGATGCTGCATCAGTGGTTCAAGGCAGGCTTCGCACGGTCACATGGGGGCTGCATCTTGCCAGAGCCCATGGCCCTCCTGCAGCCCCTCGCCACTCCTGGCTCACCACGAGCATTTTGACAGGAAGTACCAAGGAGTAACAACAACAGAGTGTGTGTGTACGCGTGACAGAGTGTGTGTGTCTATGTGTGTGACAGAGAGAGAGAGCCGGTACATGTCACTGTGTGTGTGTGTGTGAGAGAAAGACAGATTGTGTGTTATGGGACTGTGTGACAGAGTGCGTGTGTGTGTGTGTGTGTGTGTGACACACAATCTGTATTGGGGAACTGTGACTCGTGAGAGGCACACTGTATGTGGGTGTAAGAGCCAGTCTGTGTGTGAGAGAGACTGTGTGTGTGTGTGTGTGTGTGTGTGTGTGTGTGTGTTTAAGTCCCCCCCTTCACTCACCCCCACCCCTGACTCATGTGGAAGTTTCGCTCCTCCTGTCCTGGCCCTCGGCCAACTGAGGAAGGAGGGGACAGGGTCAGGGAGAAGTCCACCAGCCCAGCATTGGGGAGGGGCCAGAGAAGAGAGGATTCCAGCCACGACCAGCGAGGGGAATGGTGCCCCAAATTTTCTGGTGCCCTACGCAGCTGTGTATGCTGCATATACCTAGGGACGGCCCTGCTAGGAGGCATGGATGCTTTGACATCTGGAGACTCCTCTTGTAATTTCTGGTTCATGAAATGGAAGTACCTCTCTTTCCTACTACCAGAGTTATAGAACATATTTTTGAAGCACCTTACAAATGTATCAACCATCTAAAAAGGCTTTCTAAATGATTCACCGATTAAATTAACAATATGTGCCAAACAGAATTTGGAAATAGTTTAGAAAACTCAGGCTCAAATGTCTTTTTCACGTAACTAGCACTGTCAGTATCAATTACTACAACATTTTCATAATCAATCTGGTACTCATTTACTGCTTTGACTACAGCCTGTGAAACAGTTGAGTGATTAACAGCATCTAAAAACACTGTATCCACACACACACACAAAAAAAAAAAGTTAATATGCCCACTGAAATCAGGTTGTAATGGTGCAAATGGTACATTCAGAATTGATCTTGCCTCATCATCATAACATTCAAAGATAACAGCGATTTTTTGTCTTTAAGCTTCAGTTTTTAGTTTTCCTTTTCTTTGAGGTACACTTCAGGTAAGTACGTCTCAGTCAGTTGTGTCCTAGCAAGATTTGTACCACCATTCCGGACCCTGCTGTCAAGAAATTCTCTCACAAGTGGGTGGTCAGTCTTTGACAAGGGGATGTTGGCACCTGCTAGTGTCTTCACCCATGGCAGTACAAATCTGAAAGTAGAAGTAGTTAGATAAATCTTCAGTGAGAACAAATATTTACCATCCATGTAACATCTTAAATATATGAATAAACGTATTAATCTAAGATTAATTTCTGAATTTCTAGAATTTACTTTAGATTTATATATAGTAATAATAGGTATATCTCCATATATTATCCCATAGAACTGGAAGGGACCCTGAAAGGTCATGGAGTCCAGCCCCCTGCCTTCACTAGCAGGACCAAGTAAATAATCATGTAGTCATCACTTACAAAAAAAGTAGTTTAAAAACAGAGCTGTCTATTCAAGATCTCAGAGCAAGCGAAGAGATCCCATCACTATGACTGTGCTATGCTACTTATCTTATTTTTCTGTATTATAACAACATTTTCTTATATTTCCACTCACCTCCACATATTCTTTTTCTGCCGCTGTTTTGTTTTTCAATGAATCGTAATGGTCTTCTGACGTTTATTTCTGCCTTCCTCTTGAACCACATCTTCCTTCAGTTTGTGTTTTTTGGATGCAAAATGACCCACAATTACAGACCGTCAGTCATGATTGAGAACAACATTGCACAATGTGCAAAATAATTTGTCCCCATCCGCATGCAGTTTTGTAAGGAATTCTCGAGCATGAGAAGCTGACATAGCTGTTTTTGATGTGTGATGTGATGGCCATTCACATCATGCAAAAGAATGAATATCCCTTTGCCCTTTGGTAACTTCGTCTGGACTTGGCTGGGTACTTTGGGAAGTGCTTGGTTCTGATTGTCCTGACATTTTATTGACTGCTTGGTAAACGCTTTATTTTGCCCTCAAAGTCTTTTTTTTTTTTAAATGGGTAAGTAAAATAAACCCTTACCTGTAATCTAACCCCACTGTGCCACTTTGGCACAGGAAAAAAGTGAGAAAGCACATAGCCCTTCCTAGCTGAGGATTCCCTTACTGTCATTTATATTAAGGCTCCTTTACATCACTCTGGCAATGCAGGGGCCTTAAAAACTTTCACAGATTTTATGCTCCTGGGGGAATTGACTAAGAATGGGAACAGTCGACTAACAATAAAAACATTAACATTAAAAGTCAGGCGCTACATTTCTGCCTCAGAGAATAAGCTCAATTAACCATCAACAGTAAGTTCAGGAGTGCCGCCAGCTTTTCTGCTGCCCTAGGCGGTGGAAGGTCCCGCCCTGAAATGCCGCCCCCCACAGAGGTGGCGGACAGTCCCTCCGCCGAAATACCGCCGCGGTCGCCACCCCCCAAATTGTAGCACCCTAGGCGACTGCCTAAGTCGCCAAATGGGTTGTGCCAGCCCTGAGTAAGTTGAACAATGTTACTAACTACACAGTCAGGCTGCTAGTGCCTCAGAGAATGAATCAATTAACTAAGGCAGGGCTGCTACATTAGTGCCTCTAACCTGCCTCATGCATAAAAAGCCCTACCCTTACATGCCAGAGAGCTGCAGTGGCCAGGGGGAGGGAAAGACTCTCACTCTCTCGCTTGTTGGCACCCACATACCCTCAGCCCCGCCTGCCCCTGACGGTGATCATGCAGGCATGCACGCACACCCAGTCCCCCCGTCCCGTCTCTGAGGCTGCTCCAGGCATGCTGAAACAGACGTGCTGCCTGGGCTGCCGGGCAAGAGGCATGTGTCCACCGGCAGATTTTTTTTGCATTTTTCTGCACGGGGCCCACAGAAAAATGCAGGCCATATGAATTCTGTGCCCCCACATCGGCGCAGAATCCCCACAAGAGTAATATACAAGGATGTTGAAACAAGAACATGCTGAAGCTTGTATCTTTTGCTCTGGAACATAACCTATTGTTTCTAAATGTTTTATATATTTGAATTAAGAGAAAATTAAAGACTGCTATCTAAGAACAAGAATCAAACAAGACTTTTATGTTTGTCTTACCTGAAAGCTTCAACTATGATCCTTTCAGGTAATTTTGGAGCAATGGACTTGAAGGCTCTTTTGAAATCTTCCAAAGTCAAAAATCCTCTATCTTGTTTAAAGTAGTGGGAAAATAAGATAAAAAAATACTATGAAGACTTATGCTTGCTCAAGAACCAAACATCAAATTTTTAATACATTAATATTTATAAGCCTGTCCAGCAGATTTTCAGAATCTAAGTACACTCTTTGAAGGGGAGGGGGATAGCTCAGTGGTTTGAGCATTGGCCTGCTAAACCCAGGGTTGTAAGTTAAATCATTGAGGGGGTCATTTAGGGATCTGGGGCAAAAAACCTGCCTGGGGATTAGTCCTGCTTTGAGCAGGGGGTTGGACTAGATGACCTCCTGGTCCCTTCCAACCCTGATATTCTATGATTCTAAGTTATTATAATTTCAACCGAAGTATTTTAGGAAATGGCTAGGATCCACATAGCGTAGGGTAGTGGGGGGTGTCAAAAGATGAGTGATTCAAGAATGATTTTGTACTGTCATTTTGGTGTATGCTACCAAAAACTCCATTCAAAGGAATTACCCCTGCAGCATCTGTACTGTACTGTTTCATATTTAAGAATTAATTTTAAAAACTGTCATTTTGAAAATAAACTTTTATACTGGGGAAACTTTCAAATGCACACTTTAAAATACACTAAAATTACCTTTTACATGTGTTTCACAATTTTTCTTCCCATATTTGCTAATTATCAAAATTCCACATGTAGAGTTGTATTTAAACAAGGTTTCCCTCACAGTACATTTTCTCTTCTAGATTAATTCTGCAATGAAGTTATGATACTGAATATATAACATCAGAACAAAGTCCACGAAAGAGACCAACCACCTATGATTATGGGAATGTCTATACTACCAAATTAGGTTGCTGGAGCTATGCCAGCATAACCCTGTAGCGTAAACACAATCTATACTGCTGAAAGATATAGGAACACCACTTCTCTGAATGACAGTGCCAAAGATGGCAGAAGCATTCTTCTGTAAACATACCTGCATCTACACTGGGGGCTAGGTCACCATAGTTACGGCGCTCAAAGGTGTGTTTTTTCACTCCTCACTTCCATAGCTATGACAAACTAACTTTTAGGTGCAGACAAGGCCTATGACTTCACTGCAGGATCCAAATGAAAGAGAAAGCAATAACTCAAACAGGGTTTTCACTGGGTACGTATGGGGAGGAGGGAGAGAGAGAGAGAGAGAGAGAGAGACAGACAATGATGGAACAAAA